TCGGCCAATACATTGGTTTCGCAGACCAAACGGATGTCATAACTTTCTTTAGTTTATTTGATCGAGTCTTACCCTCAATTCTTGTGTTCATCCTTCTGGATAGATACAGGATTTGAGGTAAAGCGCTTTTTCATCTAAACTATGAAAATTATGGGGTCAGTTTGACTTCATCTTTTTCAAAACTAAAATTTTTAAAACGTTCTTCCGAAGCGGGCAACGGGATTTCAATCCCGATGACCGACAGCTTCTTACGGGCAAACCCCACACCAAAAATAATGTCGACAATCTCCAAGGATTCGGGTGATGCTTCGGTTGTAGCTCGACCCAAACGAGACATTTTATCTTTCTGTAACCCTCCGGCCCTCTTCTTGCTGTTGTTCGATGCATCCTACCACCCGCAAGCTTGCTGCCCTCACTGTCGAACTCCCTCCAGGCCTTCTAGAACTTGTCATAAGCCCCCCCAACCCATCTAAACAAGACCGCAACCCTCCCAGGCCTTCCCCCATCCTGATGTAACCGTCTCCAACTCTTCCCAAGCAACCCAGCAACTGCCGCAACCCCTCCAACAAATCTACCTACTACGTAACCTCTATTGGAGTTTGTGTTGTGTCTTTATGTTTGTATTGTTGTTTTATTGTCGTCATTTCATGTTTTCAAGCGTCGTGGATGTTATTTTTATTTTAGGAATATGTTTTTTGTTGTGATTTAGGTTTCCTCCGGCATCATTTAATATCAAAGCAAGCCTAACTTAGCCCTATCCTAGGGCCTCTAGCATCTGCCCCTATCAAGCCACCCCACCAAAATTTTTCTGCCCTAAAAACTTCGACAAAGGAAGTCGAAGCTCCATCAAACCTGATAGATTGACACAAAAGCTTCCCCGGATCACAGCACTATAACTGCTACAATGCAGTGAGCGTGTTACAATAGCAGCTAAAATAATCTCGGTCCACCCATTCTCCCCCCTTTTTCTTCCTTTTCCCTCCTAATATTTCTTTCCTTTTCGATGAAATCCCCTATTATAAATCTTTGTCTATTATATTATTTCATTTTTATTCTATTTTCTAATAAAAAGCATTTTCTAATATAAGTCATAATCGCTCTTATATATAAGGGTTATTTTTGCTTAGAAAAGGAGATTTTGATGATTGTTGCACTTGAGGCATTCCTCTCCTATGAGGGTTGTACTCGACGGAGAGAAGGTGCTCTAGTTGTAGTTCGTCTGAGGTGGTGACCATCTCCAAGGGTTCTGGTGGTTCTCGAGTTGTAGCTCAACCCCAACGAGACATTTTATCTTTCCGCAACCCTCCAGCCCTCTTCCTGCAGTTGGTCGCCCCATCCTACCACCTGTCAGCTTGCTACCCTCACTGTCGAACTCCCATCCAAAACTTGGATTAAGCCCGCCCAACCCATCCAAACCTGACCGCAACCCTCCCAAGCCTTCCCCATCCCGCCATAATTGTCTCCAGCTCTTCCCAAGGTTGCAACAACACGTCCCAAGCAAACCAACAGCTGTCGCAACCCCTTAATCAGATCTACATGCTACCTTAACCCTTATTAGATTTTGAGTTATGTATTTATGTTTGTGTTGTTATTTTGTTTTTGTTATTTCATTTTCTCAAGCGTCATGTCTGTGTAATCATTTCAATTTCAGCAATAATATTTGTTTTTCATTGTGGTTTGGGTTTCCTCCGGTATCACTGCATATTCTCCCAGAACATCTGAGGAGTTTTCCCTACTTGCGACCACCATCCATATAAGTCCAACCATATGAGGGTGTACTACTAAATTGGACTGTGATTTTGTGTCAAGTATAACTTGAACAGTCTTCCAAAGGTTGTCTTTGGTTGGCTCAATCCTAGATGACGTGAGAACAAACTAAACTCCCTCTAATGGTGGCGGACATGGTGGTAGTGATTGGCCCATATTTGGAATTTGCACCTCTGTCCTGTTTTCCTCTATCGTCGCCAAAAAAGATTCTACTGGAAAATCTTTGTTGGCAAGGGCACCCATAATATCAGACTCCATAAAAGGTAAAACAGCTATGCAATTGCCATCCATGGTAAAAGAGTAGGTATTCTTGAACCTATCACGTAGAATATGACGACCAAACTACCACAGTCTCACCAACAAAATTTGAAAGGCATTGATGGGCACCTTGTCGCAGCAAACATGATTTTGCAACTAGTTCCAAATCAAAAGTCCACAAGACACCTCCTATCAATGTTGACTATGTTTTTCTTCCTCAATCATGTCAAGGAGTATGGTTGGCAATTTCGTTGAGTCGTGAGGCTTAATTGGTACACCATCTATGTAGATGTCACATTCTTGTTGCTCTCTATATCGATGATGAAACTACATATATTTTCCTTCACAGTGCAACAAGTGTAGAATATGTTGTGAAGCTATTGTTGATCCCTCGTAATCTCAGCTTGTAAAATCCGTCGAACCACAAGTATCTCGGCCTCATCCGGTGGAAGTTAGAACTTCTCGTCATGTTCTTCAATTGCATCTTCGTCACTAAATTCCTCTACTACACTATATTTGGTGAAGGACACAACTCAGCACATCGAGCAACTGAAAGCGATGTGTCCAAAATCATGGCATATAAAGTATTTATTGATTGGTACTGTATTGAAGGTTCTGCTCTTCCTGGGCTTCATCTCACTCTGGGCAGCTCTATCATTCTCCTACCGGTTTTCTCAACTCCTATAGGTATGCTACCGATATCTCCAGCTGTGAGTGGCTATTTGAATGGCAGTGGGTGTCTACCCTACTTCTGTTGTCTTTCCAACTTCAGTGTTAAAGTTTGAACGTTGCCCAAAGACCAATAAGGTTGTAGCTGAACCACATAGATGATGGCAGGCTTCAGACCTCGCATGTACCTGGCTATCGTCTGATCCTCCGGTTCCATCAGATCACATTTCAACTTAAACTGCATGAACTCCGCGATGTACTCGACCGATAGCTCCCTTTGTTGCAGGTGGTGAAACTTCAATAAAAGACTCTAATGGTAGGGTGGGGTTAGATGTTGTCACGACAACTCTCTCTTTATCTTCTCTCAAGTAGCAAACTTGCTACGTCCCTCTTTATTTCTCTCCCTTTTCAGGTTTTCCCACCACAACGAGGCTCTCTTCTTCAACTTTATAGTAGCCAGTTTCACTTTTTGGTCATCTAGTACCTCCTTGAATTCAAAGATCCTCTCTACGATCTGCAACCATTCTTTGAAATAATTTGAATTCATTCTCCTCTCAAAATTTGGTATGTCCACTTTCACTACTAGGTCTTTATATCCTCCAACAAGCATTTCATCTTTATATACTCCAACAAGCACTTCATTTATGCATCCTCTAACAAGTAATTTATTTTTGAATCTTCTAACAGGTACTTCATCTCTCACCCTCTTCTGATATTGTATCTCAAAGCATCGTGGCATGTATTCATCTTTACTAGAATCATCCCTACATAAGGGATTCAGGAATTCCTCCATCTCTCCTCTTTGGATCTCACCACCACACTCGTCAGTGACCTCTCCATGGGTCATTTCCTGAATGTCATCGAGTCGTTGTAGCACTCGATGGAGCCATCGTTGTAGTTCTTCCAAGGTAAACTCCTGATCAGGTTCTGGCAATTGCCACTGCGGAATATTAGGTTTTAGGATGGGTAGGTGGAAGGTGTGTAGAGGTGATTGAGGTGAGATAATTTTTGTTGTTCGGTAAGAACATCTATAATTAAAGCAAAAGGATACGAGCTTAAAGCCAATCCCTAATATAATCCAACTGAAATAGAAAAATACTTGGTCAATCCTCTTCGTTTTCGAACACAAGTAACAGTTCTAGTATTCCTATCTTTAATGACTAAAATATAAGCAATATCAACACCTTTCTTTTCTAGAACTCTCCGAAGTACTCTTAGAATCTTATCATAGGCTTTTTCTAAATCAACAAAAATCATATGTAGACTTTTTGAATTTCAAATGTAAGAAAAAAAAGACTATTTTTTTTAGCATCTACTAATGACATTTATGATTTCTAGAGCTTTTAAGAGTTTAATCATCAAAAGAATGCTTCAATTTTTTTCCAAAAGGATGCCTTGGAATGCATAGCAATATAACTATGATTTTAATTCATAGAAAATTTCAAACATATTTGAATTAAATAAATGGGAAGTTGATGATATCTAGAGTGTATTTGTTGGATTTGACCGATTAAATCCATAGGGTAAAATTAGGTTTTTAAAGGGGATTCTGTCTTCCATTTAATCATTCCCGTTTCTTTCATATGTTCTATGGCTGGTAAGGGAGATGAGAAATGTGTTCGTTCATGCAGTTTTGCAAGCACTTATCTTTTTGTGCATGGTTTCCGTGAATAATAGCAGACCAGAATACATTTGCATAATACATAACTAGGTAAGTAAACCTATAAAATAGACATTATCTGGGCTTCCGACATTATTAGTTGACTATGTACCCATTATAACAGTACCATCTACAAACACAAGAAGGTATATATGTGCGGGAACATTTATGGACAATACTTAATTATAAATAGATCCCACATGCAAGATTGTATTGATCATACATGCAACCTTGCAGTACTCTATTGATCGAGCCAAAGTAACCAAGTTCCTTATTAAAGTAGTTTTCAACAAATAATAGCGCACTTACTTCAGCCATAGAAAGAGTATGATAGTGAAAAAAAGAACCTATTCTGCATTCTTGGTGAATGAGTAGGAGTTTGACTCCCTATTTTTCCAAGACCTAACCAAAAAAAGATAGTTAACAGCAAATTAGAAAAAGAAAACAGTAGAGGAAAATAGCATGAATGCCGATAATTAACGAAGCATAATGATGTTGACTATAGCTTCGAGAAACAATTAACCAACAAATAGACGTTGACAGAAATTTGAAGAGAACCATCATAGGCCTAAATTTAGAGTATATTATGCTGTTCTAGTCTCAACCAAGTATCCTTGTGCATGTTTTTCTTACTGTATTTTCTGATGTTTCAATTGTGTGATACTAACTTCAGCCCTGTATTTATATCATTAAATTATTTTCTCGTGCTAACGAATGAATCCTAACTCCCTTGTTTCCACTATCCACTTGCTCTTTTAATATAATGGTGCCTCTTGTCACAAGTTAGAACAATAAGTTCATTCATCAAAATAAACAGATTCATAAGCAATGAACTACAATAGGTGCCCTATTTGCTCTAATACACCAGATCAAACATAGAAGATAAATCTAACGGTGATTGAATTATTGTTATCTTCTAGGCAAACCAACTTGACAAATCTTGTCAGTATAGAAACGTGGAACTAATTTTTTTTTTAAGAGAGAAATAAAACCAATCAAGATCTAATGGGAGAAAATAGTTTTAGCATGTTATGACTAAAACCTTCCCAAAAAAAAAGTAAAAGATATTTAGGAAAATAGAAACTTGATGTGTTAAAAATTATAAAGGCACTTCTTGGAGAGGCCATACAGCTGCTCCGTCCGAAGAACTCCAATCACCTATTGCAAAGTGAGGCAAGTGTGACTATATACTAATAAATCATTGAAGTACAAAACTACAAACTTCACAATGAAAGCTCAAAAAATTGATTCGTTGGCTACATGAAAGCCCAAAAGGCAAGACTAATCACTCATACAATCCATCTCGTACCTTGAAAGTTGTCTTCCACTCATCTCTGGGTCCATCATGATCTAGTGATAACCACTACATAAGTCGATTTTGGAGAAGTCATTGGCACCATGTAACTAATCAAGTAAATACTTAATAATGGTATTACTCACAACCCTGTTGGTCACAATTGGTAGGTTGGTCAGTTGGGGAGAACTGAGCCTGGGATGAGGCCTAATGCATATTAAATCTCTCATGGCAAGCTATCAGTCAAAGCATCATGAAACTCCTTTAAAAGATGTCACACTCCCCAAGATAATGACTTCACTATCACAGTGCCCTCTAACATCACGATGGCTAATCGCAATGGTGCCTCTCTCATAGCTTGCAGAAATGTAGCACAAGGCACTACAGATCCTGCCACTATCTGAGTACTCCTCACTACTGACTCCTTCAATGGCAGAAGTGCAATTTGCTTCTCATCCTTAATAAATATATGTTTATGGCCATCATGAAGCGTACTTTGTCATATTGTCATGACCAATCAAAAAAAAATGTGACGCGTCCATAGGCACGACATCACATCAACTAATCCTATAGCTTCTCTATATGACAATTCTATTAGACACTTCTTATTGACATGATCTCATTCTCCTTTTTCAACTAGTTAGGGAATATAGCAGAAAAGGCTTCCGGATAGTGAGGTTGAGATTGTACATTACCTATGTGGAGACAATATTCTCACAACTACCTCTATCGATAATGAAACTACAAATCTTCCCTTTCACGGTGCAATGGGGCTAGAAGATGTTATTTTATATGTAAAAGCCACTATTGAGCCCTCTTAGACTCAGATTGAAAAACTTATCGAACACAAGCATCTCACCATCATATGCGAGTAATTGATGTTTCTCACCAATCTCCTCCCTTGAGTCTTCACTATCCATTTCATCTACCGCACCCTGCTCAGTAAAAAAAATCACCCTACGGTTTAGGTAGTTGAATGCAATGTGCGCATACACATGACATTTGAAGGACTTCTTGGCTGAAAATGTCTTGGGGATGAGGGCCCAATCAGTCCTCTTTTCCATCTATGTTAGCTTCTCCTCATGGGGAACAGATCCTGGCCCTTTGGTAAATGTATTCTTTCAATACGATCTGATAGTTGAACCATATTTAAAAGGTGGTGTGAACTTGATATTACTATGTTGTCTCTTCACCTTCAATGTTAAAGTCTAGACATCATGTAATATCTAGTAGGGTTGTAACTGCATCATGTTACCAATAGAAGGTCTCAATCCTCTAAGATATTGAGCAATGGTGTTCTCCTTAAGCTCCACCAACTCACATTTCAATATAAGTTGTTCAAACTTAGCAATGTACTCATCTACTGACAGTCTGCTGTAAATGATGAAGTCTCAAAAATACACTCTGTGCTGAATTTTTTTTTCCATATTGAACAATTTGGTAATCCTACTCTTCCCTTCACAATGTGGAAAATGCTTCAAATTCTTCCACCATAATAGAGCATTCTTCCTGAGTTTGGTGTATGTCAATTTGACTCTCTTCTCCTAGGGAAGATCTTTATACTCAAAAATTTATTTCAATGATTTTAGTCACTCAATGAATCCATTCGAATCTAGACGTTCGTCAAAATCCAACAAGTAGATCTACACCCTAAATTTATTGCTTCTCATCTGATATTCAATGCAAATCGTCGAGGTATTAGTTCCTTATTATTAGAAACTTTCGGGTTGAAGGGGTTGATTTCTTCCTCTTGATCTAACGAATCACCATTATGACTATGGGTAGTTTTCTCGTGTTGTCTCCGCTCAAAGGCAGCAAGCCATTGTTGCAGTTGAAGTCTTGAACAACTCTTCAAAGGTTCTCTTTGGAAGCATAGTGACTTGTTTCCCACTTTAGTGCTTCAACTAGGATTGGACTATGAATCAAAGGTTGGTCTGGCGTTTAGGTTTAGGTGGCAAATGTAAAGATGAATTTTTGGTGGGTGTAGGAAGATTTGAAGGTCTAGAGTTAGGATTATAAACTAAAATAAGGATTTGGTTCTGATACTAAATAACATCTTTTTTAGAATTCTTAGAAGGGGTTGTCAGATCAAATTTAGTGTGAAAAGGTTGTAAATGGCAAAAAAAAAATGTTAAATAAATTAAGTTTAAAAGAAGTTTTAATTTGTTGGGTGGATGTACGATTTGAAAACAGTGGGGCAAGCAGTGAAATATCAAGGTAGGGATGACGGGGAGGATTCTGATACAATCAGACATCAAAATTGGCACGCTTTTTCAGAAGAAATTAGGGCAAACACAATATTTCTTCACTAAATCAAACAACTCAACAAGAAAACAAAGTAAGCACCTATGATTCGAGAGGTAAGCGATCTCTCCCAATTCCTACAATTCGAGAGGTAGGAAACCTCACCCAAAACCTAAACCTAAGACTCACAACTCAATCTTATGCATAAACCTAACCCTAAACATAACAAAACAACTTTAACCCAACAATGATAAAAATAAACGATTAAATTGCCCTTAGGCTTAAGCGCCCTAGTAACAATATTCACCCCCCTCCCCCCAAAAGACACCTTGTCCTCAAGGTGGGAAAAATGAGAGTGTTTCTCCTTGTCCCCCATAGCTGTCCTATTTCTTCATTCTCTGCTTCATCGTCCTACACAATGAGAACTTGAAATCTTCGATCATTGCAACAATGTTCTGAAGTAAACTTCTCGTCAAACTTTAAATATAACCCCTTAGCTCACTTCTCGTGGATCTGTCTCTTTAAAGCACTTGAGTGTTTCTTCTAGTCGTGGTCCAGTATTCGTGTCCCGTGCAGCCTCCCTCTGGACTTCCACTATTTGAACTTTTGGCATTGAAATGGTTGCAGCCATTCCATACGACGCGCCATCTGTGTTGCTTTTGTTGGCTTTCTTCATCTAGTTCTTGTCTTCCACCATCCGGGCTCGATCCTCGCGGTCTTAATAATCCGAATGTTGTCTGTATCGGCTTTAAGCCCTTAGGCATACAAAGACAAATTTGCCCTTAGGATAAGCACCTTCGTAACAGATTCGCCCCATGTTTTCTTCAAGATATGGATTCACTACTTCAAGAAAAATAGGCTAAAGCTTCCCAAATAAGAGAAAACAGGAAGAATAGTTTCCAAATAACATAAATAAAAAATAGAGATGTCAAAATCAAAAAATAACAACATATAAATTATCCCCCAGCAAAAGTAACCCTAATTCTAATTAAATTAAACCTAGCTATAGGGCCCACAAGGCCTGGAACAGTGAAATAAAGGAAATTTTCCAGCTAAAAATGCCCACGAGACGGAAATTATCGTCCCATGTCATCACATCTGATCGAGCACTTCCGAGTCACAGACTCTCCCACGTTAGATTGAAATGATAACATCAAACATTTACTTCTAAATCATGAATAATTCACAAGCCTAAAACTTTATATATCCCAATGCTTCAAGCAAAAGTAATGAATTTGTTGGTGGTACCTGAAAAAATAATCAAAATGGACAAAACCAGATTTTAACAAACCAAAGAATTAAAAATCAGTGCATTACCATCCACTGAAAGTGCTACATGTGACTCAGGAATTAATCTTCCATTTGAATATGGCTCGTCATCACCAAGTATATCAAGAACAGTAGCCTCTGGAAACGAGAAAGGTAGATAAAAAAATAGACAACAAAATGTTCCGTTGGGAATATTGATGTATACCAATTTGAGGATTTTCCTTTTTCTCAATGAATGTGTCCTCCTTCCAGCTGGAAGTATGCTCTGGAATGGACCCTGCCATCTTACATTTATTCACTTGGCCGGCACATCTATAAGAATCAGTTCGACAAACTTCAGGAAGATTGCTAAGTAAGACATTGAAAGCTAAATCAATATACTCAATGGCTTAAAAGCACCTTTTGGTGACAAAAAACAAGCAAAAAGATATCAACCTATTAGAAGAATTTGTCACTTCCTCCAATCCTGATTATTTGAGAACCAAAGTGGGCAGAAGTTACATCAGCAAATAAATCCAAGCTAATAATAATCCTAGATAATTGTTTAAAACCCATTGCATTTCTGGCCTAAAATGTTGTAGACGTATAAGGGAAAAATTCTTACTTGTTTCAACAACTGTTGAATAACTGCTGGTAAATTTTCCCAACAAACTAACATCTGAAATGTTGACAGCATGGCAATCCACTGACGCAGGGAGCTCTGTGCTAGCTGAAACAGCAGGGAAATTTAATATGAAGAAAAACGATACAAAGTATTAAGAAAATAACATTTAAAAATTCTTGTGCGTATTCTAAGGATACTATTGTTATATAAATGTTTCCATTAAAAAAAACAAAGGAAATATACGAGAGAGCAAATAGATGGCCTTTCTCGCATATTTCACCAGTATAACAAAGGAAATATTCTAGATGGGCCACTAAAAAAAATTAACAGTTGGAGTCTGCGAAGGCAACATCCAGGTAGTGAGAACTTTTAGAGCCGAGATCATAACACTTGTACTCTTTTTCGAAGAGAAATATCTTAGGAAGTTGCATTTTATGACTCTTAAATCATTTCAGCGTTTTGATAATGTTAACCGACATAAGCAATTCTTCCCCCATGGTTTTTAGTTGAAACAGTGAGTGTTATATGTCATGAAAAAATTATCTGAGGGTCTCAATATGTACTATATTTTGTAAAATTCTAGTCATAAGATGATTTATAAAGACTGGCAATTAAGATAACTTTCTCTTTATAAAATTTTAGAATATTCTAGGGCCCTCCCGCTTTTAACAAGGCAGTAATTTATTTCTTTTTGCAACCTCATTTTATTGTTAAGTGTCAACAAAATAATATTCATGGATGAAACAATTTCCATGTAAACAAGAGAAGAAGGTTCGATTAAAATATTCCTTCTCATTAGACAACCTAATACGCTTAAAATTAGTTTCAAGTTGAGCAATGATAATTTTATGGAATAAGGGGAGGAAAACATCACCATTGGATTTATATTTCATAAGAAAAAGTCATGTTGGGCAGAAGCAATCGTCCATGAAAATAACAAATCATTTAGCCCAATTGATATTATGGATTTGATGCAATCCCCAAACATCGATGTGAATTGGGAAAAAAGATATTGAGGTTTTACTTGGGGAAGAAATATTATGATGTTCAATTAGCTATTTGACACATCTGACATCAGAACACTTATGAATTTTTTTCATTAAATAATATAGAGAATAAAGATTGTAGTACGCTAAAAAGATAGATGATAACCCAAATGTGATAGAACCAAGTTGGTGCCGCGTTGATACCAAAATTTTGAATAAATAAGATTGAGATATGAAATTTCTACTATTTGTGTCCAGATAATAGAGTCCCCTTTCTTTAACTTATTGAATAATCTTCCTCATGGTTCGACATAAAAAAGATGTTAGATCCACTTTAACTAATCCAACAAGTGATCTAATCAATGAGATAAGGAACCTACAATTGGTGTTTTGTTCACATTTCTACTATCAATGCACATATACTATAATTGAACCTTCTTGACCACAATCAAAGTTAGTACAGCACATGTGTCGGTACTCTCACGAATTAATCCTCGAGCTATTAAATCATCAATCTATTTCTACAACTACCGTACTCCGGTGGTCGCACCTTGTACATTGATTGATTGAGGAGCATTGTTCTTTGAATGTGATTTATGACATGAAGAACCTCTCCTAGTATAAGTAGTCCATGCGATAAGCTGTCAATTAGAATATCTTAAAACTCCAAATAAACTGCAGTGCGTCAGGTATTGGTATCTCCCCTTCAACAACATTAATACTATTCCCTCTAGTGTCTCTTTCATGACCTACAAAAATGTGGTGCAAGGCATCGCAATGCCCGTCTTTACCTGAACACTTATCGTTGTTGAATCCTTTATGGAAAAATATACAATAAGCTTATCATTTTTTTATAAATAAGCAGTTGTTTTTATAGTCATCAAGTGTACCCCTATCAAACTATCAAGGTCGACTAATAAAATGTAGCATGCATCCATAAGCATGATGTCACACCACACTAGCACTTGTAACTTATCTCCAATGAAAAACTCTACTTAAAAAACTTTTGTCAATATTGATTTTATTCCCTTCTTTCAACCAAGTTACGAAAGTGGGTTGAGAGTGTTTTTGGTAGTGAGACTCAATTCGTTCACTAGCTAAATAACCACTACATTTGGCACTTCTATGATGAGATTGCACATATTTTTTCACAGTATAACAAATGCAAAAGATGTTATGTCTAAATCACTAGTGCTTTCTCTTGATCTGAAAATCTTATCAAATCAATAGCATCTTACAATCATCTACAAGAAATTACCTCATTCTTCCATCTCCAGAATCTCCATTATCTGTTTCTACTACTATATCCCTACTCAGTGAAAAAAACACTTTTGTTTAAGCAGTTGAATTCAATTTGTCAAAATCCATGAACTTGAAATTACTTTTTTCCTAAAAAGGTCTTAAAGGTACTAGCCCGATCAATCTTTGCTCCTTTATATGCTTCCCCTCGTGTCGGGCAATTTTTGGCACCCTTCTCGATATACTCATGTGGCCCAATCCCATTGTAAAGCATTATTTGAAATGTGGAGTGGATATGATGCTATTGTGTTGCTTCTCCACCATCAAGGCTAAGATTTGTACATCCTACGAGATTCAATTAGGTTATAACTGCAACACATTGCCAATAGTAGGTTTTCAATTTTTCAGGATATTGTGCTATGGTATTCTCATTTGGCTCCCCCAAGTCACATTTCAATATGAGTTATTTAAACTCAACAGTGTACTCTATATATAAGTCCTTTTTGATGTAAATGATAAAGCCTCAAAAGGTCATCTCCACATATAAGTCATTTTGTTGTAAATGGTGAAGCCCAAAGAAGACATCTTACATGTAATGTACTGGGGGATATTTACGGTGCATCTCTTTCTTCATCTTATAGACCAAATCATGATCTTTCTCTTCCCTTCAAGATGGCACAAGCTCTTCAAATTCTTCCACCATAAAAAACACTCTCCTTGAGTTTAATAACAACTAATTTGACCCTCTGTCAAGTGGAATCTCATTATAGTCATAGATTCATTCCACAGTTTAGAGTCACTCAATAAACTGATCCAAAATCATATGGCCATCAAAATCTAGTAAATCAATCATCACTCTAAAATAACTCTTCATTGGCTCTTTGACACTTAAGGCATCTTTGTGGAAAGGGGTTTAATCAACTTCTTCATCTGGTTGGTCAGCATTGTTGCTATAGATGACTTCCTCGTATTTCTTCTTTCAAAATCAGAGAGAGCTTTTATTGTAATTGAAAAATTTATCATTGTCTATCTTCTATTTCTCTTCGGCAGCATGGTCGATCTTCACACACACACACACACACACACACACACACACACACACAACACACACACACACACACACACACACACACACACACACACACACACACTTATATAAAAGGGCTGACCAGCCTTTAGGGTTGTGCATGTATGTGTACGCGTGTGCCAGCGCGCACGCACGTGTGCCAGAGCGCGCGCACGTGCATGCATGTGTAGATGTGTGTGGGTGTCTATATATGTGTGTGTGTGTAATGAGCAAGCAAAATAATCATAATCTTATTTCTAACTAGGTAATAAGCTAACCCTAAAGGCTAGGTGATCCCCCTAGAGCTGAGAAAACCATTAACTGAACCAGTCCAAGCCCTCCCGCGCATACACAAAATGAGAGTCTCATTGTTGTGTCCTCTAGGGCAAAATGAGAGTCCAATCATTATAAAACATAACTTCTCAATTATTAGATATTGGTTGTGTCAATTTAGGCTTATATGATTTGGATTTGAGAGCATTTGTTGTACGGACAATAAGCAAAAAGAGCATTCTAACCAACTGGTGATGTTTTTTTAACATAGAACGATGCCTTCCCTCTTCACTTAAAATAGAAAACTTATGTCAAATAAAAAGAATCTTATCTAAGTATTTGGAAGGATACTTCATCATATTCAATATTTAGTCTAGCTAGAAAGTCATAAATTAATTCTCCCATAAAAATTTGTAGCATTAAAATATCTTCAATATATGTCATTTTGTTACACTATCATTAATCAAGTTTGAGCCATACATATTCATTTTGTTATAATATTTGAAAACCAAAAGAATAGTGGTGTGAATTCTTCTTAATCTCATAAACTAAGGTTGCATCACTTTGGAAATATGTTTGCCTCAACGCATGTCAATATCCATGGTTCTTAGTAGCATGTAATTCTGCTAACTTCTTGTATCATTAAATTCTATATCCAAGACATAATTGAGGAATATTTTACATCCAATATTGCAAAATTGAATCATCATCACTCAGTATGGGGTAAATCAAGTCTTTTCCTTTGAGAAAGTTTTCACAATCTGGAACTAAATAAAAATATTTTCTTCCATTGAATGTTAATGCAGATTGAAAGTTTTAGTAAATACCTAATAAAATTTGTTTATTACTAATTGATTGGTTAATAACTTGTGATATGGAAAAAAAATTCTTTTGGAGGTTGGTGGCTGGCTATGATGGATCATAGAGCAGAAAGTCCTTCAACAAATCAACAAGCGGAGACAACGGAGCAATAAGTGCAAGAAATGGAGCAGGGATCAGGGAGCGGAAGACAGGGAGATAGAGAAGAAGTTTTGGAGTTTTTTTAATAAAAAATCGCAACAATATGCTCAAATTCCTTTGTTCCTAGAGCTATGATACCATTAAAAGAGGAAGAATGATTTGAACTTTATTAGAATTTCACTGGGGGGTCTTATCACTATATTTATATAGCAGGAATCATGGCTCTACATATGAAAACTACTAATTACAGTGAAAAAAATTAAAACATTCATTAGCTTGCACACATTTATTTCCCCGAAAACTTGAGAGAGGTTTTTGCCCCATGAAAAAGCCCATGAACTGCCAGCTTTTTCAAAATGATAGGCCGCCGGTCATACAATCCAACAAATTACTAAACTATCCTCTAAAATGGCCAACAAAATCCTACCTTCAATCATGATAGTTGATCCTATAATTTTAGATCAAGTTTAAACTAAAAAGTAGGAACCAGCAATAGAAAATCCAATGGATCATGACCCTTTAGTGTCTATCCCTGTTAAGCCAATGATTATTGTCACCGCATCACCCCAAAGCATGTACTTTGATGTTAATGCTCCTATTTTATTAGATCACCATATTCTTCCTCCCATTGATCATTTAAAGCATTGGCGCTCTGGTAAAAATTGATTTTAAATCTTCTTTGCTAAAAAATGAAAGAATAAGAAAAAAATTGTCATCACTCCGCAAGATTTATCATAATTCAAAAAAATCATTTCAGATGAGTGTGCATTTTTTCTTAATTTTCCAAAATTATTTTCTATACTTGCACATCATATTATCTTTCATTTTATTTTACATATTTTCTTATCCTCTAGCATTACTTTGAAATTACCTCATGTTGTACGCATTTTTTTTTTTATTAAATTATGCTTTAAAAAAAAATCCGCCCTAAACTAATTTAAGAAATCATTACCTTATATATGTGTGACAATGCCCATATGTATTAACCATTCGTTGATTCATATGGAGTTAGGGGATGAATGGGAAAGAGGTAAAACGATTACCTTCCTCTAAAGGAGGACAAATGTGATGCAATGAGTTATTATCGCTTGGCAGTAATAGGCTCAGATATTTGGTTCAGAACAACTTGAGAAAAGGGGAAGCAATTACATGACACAAGGGAAGCCGATGAGCTTGTCCAAAACATGTGGGGGAGATGAGAGACAGAAAATCCCAAAAAATGAGAACTTCATTATCAATGCTGAAAATTTATTTTTGTCATTGTTAAATTTTATTCTACTAGTGATGAGTTGATTTTCTAACAAAACTTACATTAAAAGTTTTTATTAACTAGTAGAAAATTTGTTAAGAATTTGACGGCAATAATTCTAGACAAAATTAAGATTTTTATGATGAATACAATGCCTAATTCTAGACCAAACAGCCCCTAAGTCGTTGTGAATTGGAATCTCTTTAAGTTTTCCATGTTAGCAAGTTTCAGTGTCCTAGTTGGGACAAGACATTTTAAATATCAACCATCTTACCATCCAAATAATTTAAAATTTACAATTGCCACCTTAGAGGATATTTGTTGGCAGCACAAACATGTCCCATAACAATTTGAAAATTACAAACATATCCTAGAATTTCAATAGTTTCATGAAGGCATTAATAGCATGAAAAAGCAAATGCAGACCCAAATTTATTGGATTTTTCAGGTAAACAAGAAAAAATCGGTGGACCCTTGGCAGGGAAAAAATATTGCGTCCGGAGTCCGAACGCGAGCTGCGACCGAACAACGGACGTGATACAGTAGAGGTCCGAGCTCCCGCTTCGCCCCGCCGTATCACGTCCGTTGTCCGGACGCAATATTTTTTCGTTAGCAGGAACCATGTTGCAATTTTCTTCATTTTTATAAACTTTAAAATGCTAAAAGAAATTCCTACAATTTTTTAAAAATTGATAAAACTCGCTGCAAGGAAAAATTCTAGAAAAGTGCGAGATTTATGATAGAAATATAAGAAATTTCTAATAAAATATTTTGTATGTCAGTCACACATCTGAAGCCTAAGCTTTGAAACAATGTCTATCAACACAAACATCTTCAACTAATACTAAAGTTAGAACAAGAACAGCATACAATGCATTTCATGCACGAGAACAGTGCATTGATAACAAACAGCATTCCTATTAATAATTGAAATATTAAACTCAATGACAAAATAGCTTCAAAACACCACACAATTTGAAAAATCACCTGGTTGAGAAGTTACAGCCAAATTTATCAAGTTGAGGATATCTAATGATTGAGATTCAGCATTGCGTAGGACTTTCCTGTCACTTCTGTTAGCACAGTTTTCTTGACCAGAGGCCTGCCTTTGTCTCTTCCTTTGTTCAAAGTATTGTTTCTGCCTTCAATCCAAAAAATTTTTAATTAGTATCATGTAATTTTACGAAAAATATTTCCGATAGTTTAATTGTATTATATGTGTGGCACCAATTACTCAAAGAATCAACAAAATTAAGGATTTTATATACCATGAGTATTGTTGGAGAAACAGATATATATCAGTTACCTGCTATATGTTGATTTCCTTGACTGACAATTGTCCATCCCATCGTATCAGGATATGCATAGAGAATAACATTAGCATATATCAAAAAAATAAAAATAAAAGAAAAGAGGACAAAAAGGAAAATCACAGGAGCATTTCAATGAAATTTTGGCAGAATAAAGGAATGAATTTTTTAAATATTCAAATTACCAGTATTAGGTAACCCAATGGTCTAATGACTGGAAAGAAAACAAGATAGAAAGATGGAAACAAAAATTGTTTCATAATATTCACTTGATTTGATGGTCAAATTCCCGACAACCAGATTTTGTTTTTAATAATCAACGACGCACTTCAATTTCCAAAGTTCCCATGTATGTTTATGAAAGAAAAGACAAACAATAAGCATGTTTTAGAAACAGTAATTTGCAATGAAGTCCAAATTATACCATATTAATAATTACTTGAAATTGGCTTTATAAATCATCATTCCTTAGTAGTTCCAACTGATTATTATTTGAGGATCTTAAGTATTTGCACAAATCTTTTTGGATGTTTTTTATACAAGTTAAGGTTGGATATAGCAAAATCGGGCATTAAGATGTTTTCTTTCCATGAAGTGATGTCTAAGCCATAAGGTGTTTTAAGACATAAGCATCGAGATTAAACTATTAAATTAATAAAAAAAATATTAAATACTAAGTAACATTACTAACATCAAATTAATATGTTAAATTATTATCATAAAAATTTAAAATAGGAACATAAAGTCATATAAGACTACAAGCTAGATAAAACAAGTCTCTCCCGCTCCTAATTCAACATTGACTAGTAGTCCAATATCATAATTTATGAACTCAAAAGTCCAACCCACTCTCATCACATAAAGTGTCTTCATTAGAATCATGATTATAGTTAATTACTTTATGTACTCCTCCCTCATCCATAATTGTATCAGAGTACTCCCAATCTTCCTCCTAATCTTCAATCTCAACTTTATTCCTCTTCCCTAACCAATAAAAAGGTAATAACAATATTAACTAAATTTTAAAATAATGATTATCTTAATTACTCTAAATTGTATTATATGAAATTTTATACTAACACTTTTTGTTTCTTTCTTTATGATTGCTGTTCTATTCCTTTATCAAAAGAGTCAACATATGTGTAATTTCATTTTAGTTATCCATAAACCATTCATCATCAATAGTACATCATTACTAAGTCATTTTCTTCATCTAACAAAAATCATTTTAATAATTTTTTTTATTTTTAAATCTTTTGCTATATACAATATAAACCAAAAAGTTCATCCTTAAAATAGTCAAGTGATTTATTCTCTCATTGTGATCTTGGTTAATTTGACTCGCACGTTCATGACAAGCATGTAAGACACATTAGTTTGCTTGTAAATCTTCATAATTTGGAAGTGTAATCTCCAAAAATGAATCCACCATTCTACAGATTAGAAAAATAATGGGCATACTATTTAATTTTTAAAAAATTTAACCAATACATAATAAAAGTTAATGTCTAGAGAATATTTAATCGAAGAAAATTTCACCATAATATCATCAACTTGTACTCTGAAGAATTCGCTTTACTTCTAAAAAAAATAAGTTGGAGAACAATCTCACTCCTTTTTGATATGTTAGCAATCATTTTATTGATATAATAGTACATATAAAATTTGTTTTATGGATTGGTTGTCTTGTTCTCGACCGCACTGCAGCATTCATGAACTTGAGGCCTAAGGCTTTGAGCTTGTTTCTGGGCTTTTTTAAGTTAACCGGTTCAATTTTGAAATAATTTGGACTTACAAATTAATATGATGCTTTGAACTTATAAATTAAATTTTGTAAGGAACCTATCATAAAAATTAGAAGTATACGCCTCATCCAAAGAGCATTGAGATGTGTGTTGAGGCAATCTCATTCCTATTGAGGTGTTCGCCTCAAAAAGTACACATAAGGCAAATGCCTCTTAGCATTTCTAGTGCACCTTAAGTTGTGGCATGCCTCAATATGCAGCTTGAAATATGCACTTCTAAAATATAACAAACTACATCTGATCTACCACTTTTTTCTTCCTAATCAGTACAGATTAATTTATGTGACTATCATGGATGTGAATCTCCCACCTCTTTAGTAAAAGACAAAGCACATAAGTTCACTTCCTAGTATGTCATCTTTAATAAGAGCTACTATAATAAACCCTCTTATATAAATACTTTTCAAACTATCTTTCTGGTTATATCAAACATCATCACTAAGAATAACATTTCCGCAAAATTTGTCGGTGTTAAGCATCCTAAAGGCAAGCTATCCAACCCCAAGGACAATAAATGCAACTTTAAGCAGTCACCCGACCAAACGCATTGAAAAAGAAGTATACTTTTGTAGAATATAGAAATTACATCAAATTATATAGAGTACATTATTTAACCACCACATTTTGTTGGCTTCCAATGTCTAATATCTTGTAGGTAATCCTAACATGCCTAATAGACAAATTTACATAACTTAAACCACTAAACTACTTAAGTTTGTAATATATGCAACCTCAGACTACTTTAATATTTATTAATATTTTTTCCATATCTACCAACATCTATGCTTTCCAGTAGATCACCATATTTGTAAGCCTCTAAATCTTTCACTGTATCCTCTGCCTCATCCTCTTCTTATAAGATTTGCCGCTGACTATGTAATGAATTGATTTTCTAATTAGCATAAATATGGCAATGTATAACACATGGATAACAACAGATATTTGGCAAGTACACATGAAAATTAATGCTGCGTGAAAAAGTTAGTGGGCCAGCTAGAAGCATGGATCAAGGACTTGATTATTGGTGACAATGTAAATCAAAGCTGCTATGCATTGCTGTGTTCCCAACAAAGAAGTTACAGTGACAAGTGGACAACAGCTTATATGGAGACTTTGAAGTCAAGCAAATCTTAACTTTCATTCTAGACTACCTCCATGTAGAAATAGATAGTGTTTCAAAATTTTACCAACATAAAGTACAGTATAGATCGACAAAATAGAAATATTATATCCATAAGAGCACTCATGTGCAAATGGCCATACTCAAGATACAAGCAAAATGCATGCATTACTGTTTAACAATCTAATCTTAATTCTCACTCAATCAAATTGAGGCGGACTCAAATTTACAACTCAGGGCCATTTGCTACAAAGCTTATAAAACCAAGGTGGGAAGGATAGAACATTATCCTGCAAAGGTATAACTAGTTCAGAATGCAGATAACCCAAAAAGAATGCTTACTATAAAAGTTCAATAGCTAGATGCAAGGATTTTATTAAAAAAAAAAGCCATGCATTTGGCTTATAACAATCAACTTAGCAACCATTAAAATGAAGGGGGATTTACATAGACCACTGCACAATGGTATTCAAATATCTCAACCCTTATACTTAATATTTACTTATCTTTCTACCTCTCCTTTTATCCCCATCAACCTGCACGGCTCCATCTCCCTTTAGATGGAAGGGATGCCCAACCACTTCACACCTCCACTCAATCTCAAACCCAGCTCAACCTCCCTCTCCCATTTTCCTCTCTCGACTTCCTAGCTCCATGCCACATCTCCATCGTCTTTCATGCACAACTGAGAGATGGACGGTCTTGTTCTACAAAACAAAATTGAGGAACTATGGTGCCTACTGGTTTTTAGCCGTAAGATAAATATCGAAGGCAACAGCATGATTGCTTGGAGTGGAAGAAAAAACAAGTGGCAATAGTTTTGTGCCTCAAGAGGGCAGTTCGAAAATAAATTTTTAGATCTTGCTTTTTTTATGGCATTTTCTGAACAGAAATCTTTAAATGGCAGCGAAGGCGTGATACATGTCAGTGGCTTAGTGTTCGTTGGCTTGACCAGAAAAAACTTTTCAAATTGTAACCTCGCAACAACTTCAACAACAGCAGGATACAAGCACGAGTTGACAAGATTGTGATCAGCATGGAAGGAGATGATGTTAGTGAAGAGTGATTGCAAATTAGTGTTGCCTTCAACAACAATGGGATGCAAGCAAGAGGTGACAAGATTGTCATCAGCATCAAAGGGGATGACGGCAGTGAATAAATCATCAAACTGGAGTTAATGAATGTCTAAGAGTGTGTTTGGGGCGGCTGCTGCTTTTTAAAGAAGCAAATGTGAAGCTATTTTTTGGAGAAGTGGCTTCATAAGTATTGTCAGAAAGCTGTTGTTGGAATAGCAGTAGTATGTTTGAATAATATGTTGTTTTGCAGTTGTTTCTATTGAAAAAAAAAATTCTACCCCTATATATATTATTTATCGAAATGACTCATCTTTCAAAATAATTATAGCAGAATAACAAAAACAACTACAGTAATACATAAAACACGTTATGAGTTCAAACTTTTCTAATACATCAATTGTAAGTTATCAGTTCACGCATAAAATCACAATAATAAGAACTGCAAAAATAACCAAAAAGTCTATAATGACGTTAGCCTTCATGGACGATCAAGTCTCTACAGCATCTCTCTCACTTGATCACCATCTGGAGCAAACTCATATGTATCATCAGCCCAACAAAAATACTTATAATCTTTACTTGTTCTGTTTCCGAAACAACAATAAAACATTCTCCATGGCTACCTTCTTTTCTTGATGTGTACTCAGAACACCGTCTACCACAGTAGCAGTACATAGCACTAGAAGTACTTGATGATATTGAACTCATTTTTTTCTGAGATTATAATGCATTATGCTTTTAATTGACAAATAAGATCAGATAGGCAATAGAAAAAAAACAAAGTATTTGGTTTCATAATAAAAAATATATATAAAAGGTAGACATCAACAAATCTTCATTAAAAAATGCTACATAATATAGACATTAGACATCTACAAATCCTCAATATATCTAAAATAGTAAACATTTACTAGAAGACACTACAAAATGCTTCATAAATATACTCGATGAGTTTACCAAAGTATATGTAATCTTTTCTCATAAATACACCCGGAATGCTATTAGAACCACAATACGGAGGCTCCCACCGGCGTTTCGCCGTTTTGAAAACAAGCAGCGATGAAAATCATGTGAAAAAGCGGGTTCCTAAACGGCATAGCACTACTTTTCAAGACGATAAACAGGCAAAAATCCCTCCCAAAAGAACCCTAAATTTGAGGTGTTAAAAGTGAATTTAGGTGTTATATAAGTAAATATTCAGTTTTAGTGTGAAATATGTAAATACCTTTGTTTGAGTGCTATGTATGTAGATCCCCTTCTAATGAAATGGAGAAGATAGAAAGATTTTTCCAAACACATTTTACAAACGCCAATGGCAGGGAATCTAATAATGATGAAAAATGAAGCCTATCAAATACTTACAGTGGCCACCTTCCTCCTAGAACCTCCCGTCCATTTTAACATTATGCGGGATACAAATTTTCCATGAAATGTGCGGCAGGATAAAGCAACCTTCCAATCTGTAAAATCCAAAAATAATGAAAAAGCATAAGAAAATTCCATATATAAAAAAAGCTTGTCGAACAATCATGTAAATAGTTAATCTATCATAGAATGCATCAATGAACAGTATGAAAGCTTAATATATTTTTTTACCGTAAGCGGTTTTTATAAGGTCAACCTAGGGTTTCAGTTTGGCCGAATCTTAGTAGTTAAACAATGAAATAAAACAAAGCCTCCTGCCTAAACGCCCTAGAAGAAGCGAGCATGGATCATCTTTCAGTAGAAGAAAATGAACAAATTAACGAACATCATGTAACCTTCGAGTTCTAAAAACACCATCCGAAAAGAATCATTAAACAAGAAACAAACATCCATGGAACAAAATTATCAACTTATAGCAACCTTCTAACCTACATTTAGTAAGCCATCTACGACCGGCACATTTACCATGTGAAGGAAAATCTAAGAACTAGGATTTAAAAGGATCCATAAAATAAAATCATATCACTGAACCGATTTGGATCGTAACAAGTTTCCCGAATTAACAAATTCCCGCGCAGATTGATGAACGATTTCAACAGAAAGCCCAGCTCTCTGCGTTACCTACTAACCTTCTATGCCCCTCGAGAAATTACAAGAAATTGTTAAATGCAACGAGGATGGACGGCGGATAGCTTCCGACCAGGAAAGAGAGAACCCTCCAAAGAGAATCCTCGGCGTTTCTCCGGGATTTGAAAGATAGCGAAGTGAGGGCATGGAGACTATCAGTCTGCCTTTTATAGGAGACGATAGGAAGGGCGCTGTTTGTAATATTTTCAAATTTTATAGATTAGTACGAACACGTTTGAACTCATTGTTGAAACTCTAAAATTTAACATAAACAATATAACGACACAAGCATTATGTTGTTTAGTATAACCAATCAAGAACATTATTTCAACAATTCTATTAAATCAAATAATTCATTGCATCAAATACAATTATAATGTTGTAACAATGACGAGGGAAAAAAAACAAATAGTTATAAAAGTAAGGGGTGATACACCGATAATATATTTGTTTGTTGAAAGATTAGTAGCATTAAAGTGATGATTCAATGTCTTAAAGTAGTATGAAGATCCATCGCACACACAGATGATAAAAAAATTGTGTGATGAGATACCAAATTTTTTTATGTGGAAAAATCCAAAAAAGAGAAAAATCAAGGAGTCTAGCGCATTCAAAGTAATACACTAGAACAAAGATCCTCTCTTCTCTTAAATTAGAAAAGATAGAATTATAAAACTGATAATCACAAATGTGCAATAGTAGTTCGTTAATGGTGGTCATAATTGGGCTATAACATATGTAGTTCTCAGTTATTATAACAATAACTGCCCATATAAATTGTAGTTGAAAAGTTTAGTAGTAGTAATTGGCCACAAATGGTGTAGTTAGTGACAGCATTAATGTCAGTTGGCCACAGAGCACGTAGTTGAACTTTGTAGTAGTAATTAGCCACATAGACCTTGGTTGGGACTACAATAGTGTTAATTGGGCACAAAGGCTATAGTTGGAGGTTATAATAATAGTTGATCATATATGTCATAGTTGAAAGCTCCAATAGCGTCAATTAGCCACAAAAATCTTAGTTGGAAGTTGTAGTAATAGTTGACTACACAGACCATAGTTGGGAGCTGAAATAGCGTTAGTTGGTCACAAATGTCGTAGTTGAAAGTTATAGTAGTAGTTGGGCATATAGGTCGTAGTCGATGATTCTTAGAATAGAGTGAAAATTTTACACTTGACATTACATTTGTTAGTATATAACATAAAGAGAGATAAAAGTCTTAGCTACAACCATTGTACTCTAGTTGTGATGGTGTTAACCGATGGTTGCCCATGGCTGGTGGTCAAGGACGGCAGATAGTGATGACCAGTGGGAGTTGGTAGCTACAAAAGCTGATAGTTATCGTCGAGTCTTTAATATAATGTTATATGTTATGAACATATTTGGGATACAATATTAACAAGCAGGGGTCACGGATGGCGGCTAGTAGAGGCGGTCGGCGATGGTCAATGGCGACCAACAGACAAGGATCAATGGTGGTCAACTGCTGTGGAGATCAAAATTTATCATTGTATCTTCAATGAAACATTATATGTTGCGATCATACTTGCGATATGATGTTAGCAAGTAAAGGACACCAACGACAATCAGGAGGGGAGGCCTATGGTGGTCAAAGATGGCAAACAAATGATGGTCAGCAATGATGGACAGTTGCAAGGGTAGGAACTTATTGTTAGGTTTTTAATACGATGTTATGCATTATAGTTATATTTGGGATATGATGTTAGCAAGCAGGGCTCACCAACGGTGGCAAGCAAGGGTGTTTAGCGGTGGTCAATAACAACTGATGGGCGGTGATTGATAGTAGTTGGTGACTAAGACGTTATCATCATATCATCAATACGGTTCTATGCATTTCTGTTGTACTTGGGATACGGAGTTAACAAGTAGTGGTTGTCGATGGCGGCGAGCAAGGGTAGTAAGAGATGGTCTGTAGCGGCCGACGGGCGGTGATCGATGATAGTTGATGGTGGAGGGCGGTGGTTATCTGCTAGTCTTTATTCCATAACAATCTCTAGAATCTTCTCATATTATTCTCCCCCCTCAAGTGAAGAGAGGGGTTTGTAATTTTAGCCTTTTCGCAGATAACTTTTCGAACCTCCTGAAGGCCCATATTGATCCTTAATCATAAGAGTTTTTTTAATGACTTGAGAGTATTAATGATTTTAAAGTTAAGCGAGCTTAGGGTCGATGAATTCCTCTTATTGAAACGCTCAATTTGACTATAAATATATTAAATTTGGAATTCATTTCATCCTTTAATTGAAGATCCAAAATCCTTAAATATGTTTTAATGGCTTAATATGATTTTATTGGACTTTGATTGAACCACTTTTAGTATCATTGGGTTCGTCTTGTCAACACGGTTAGTTTGACTATAAGCTTGCTGAATTAAAGACTCCAAGTGATCTTAAATTTAAAATTTTAAAAATCCTCCATAAAATACATCAAGATTTATGCTTGATAAGAAATTATAGGCCCATCTTTCAAAGCTAGCTTAATTCATTCTTTAGATGAGAAGCTATAACTAGATTCCTCACACAAATTATGTCAACATGAGGACACATATTTATAAAATTTTGGCTAAAGTTGCTACTAAATTGATTTTCAAATTGAACTTTATCATTGCAATCATCTTGTCATGTTAAGCTTAAAAAATGCAAACAAATGAATTATTAAACCAATGGGGAAAGCCAAAGTTTAAAATCATAGAAGATCATTCTTCTTCCTATACAAAGTGAATAAGGGTATTTTGATGTGAAATAAATATTAGACATATTTCACTAAGAAATTAAATACTGAATATTTCCTCTATTTTGAGTATTATGGGGCATAATATATATATATATATATATCAAATGTGAACTCAATTACAATCTAATGAATAATTTTGCAGTGAAAATCATTTAAAATTGAAAACATAGCACACAATTCCTATGTAATAACATGTCTCACATCTAAACATTCATATTTACACACATAACATTTGAATCTTTAATATCACATCAAAAATAATATTATTATCCATTTTCAAAGTAAAATACATCTTTTCTAGCATAGGTTTAAATCACCAAAGTGTTATACATGTAAATGTGAAAGTTTATAAGTGTGAGATGCATAAAAACATAAGGCTTGTGTGCTAAAAATGAAAATTTCCCTTTTTTCTCTCTCGGTTTCAAAGTCAGATTAGGTTTCATGAAATTTGCACTACGAAATTTGACAAATTGATACTGATATAATTCTTAGATGAGAAATCCGAGGTACATGGCCCAGAGAAGCGGCCCTGCACCAAACCATAAAAAAATCGGCCCGGCCCAACTCAAGTAATTATGCATTGTTGCTTTTAAAATTATTATTTACATACATCTCCATAAAACAATTATTCATTAGAAGTGATTAAATTTGAGCAAATAGATGTATTTTAATTTAGAGGCATTTTTATACATACCACTCAATTCCAATGTATTTAAATATCTAACACCTAAACTTTCTTTTTTTATATTTATAACACAAATCTTTCATCACATTAAAAATATTATTATTATTTTAACCTTCAGAAAGTAAACTTTACATTTTTATGCAAGATAAGTTTAGGTGTTAGATATGTAGCATATTAGAATTGAGTAGCATGTATGTAACTTTTCTTTAATTGTGTCACGTACTCAGATCAGCTGGTCGGGCATCTGTTTGTCAGTTATAAGTCTCCTCTGGTCTGAAGTTCAATTCCCCCCGGTGGAGGGTGTGGTATTCGAATTGTTTGGCGCACAGGAATGGTCGAGGCTCGTATGGTCATTCTTTAAAAAAAATAACTTTTCTTTAATTATATATATATAATATATATAATGTATTACAATTTTAGAAGTTAATAATAGTGATATTTTCGACGTGATGTACTTGAAAACTTGAGTAGTTATGTAAATAAATATGGAAGTTTTGGGTGTTAAATATGTAGAAAAAAAAATTTCAATTTTTGCACGCATCATTATAAAAATAAGAAAAATCATTTCAGTAAACAAAAAAATATTGTGATATTTTTTTTTATGTGATATGAAAGCTTTGAATGATATAAATGTATAAAAAAAAATAAAGTTTAGATATATTTGATATGCAAATACCAAAAAATTTGGGTGGTATGTATGTAAAAGCCCCTTAAAATAATTAAATTTAAACAATCATTAATGAGTGTAGTATAATTAATATATATCATTTGTATGTTTCCATGTCTTAGGGAACTGAAATATTAGAGAAAATTAGAAGCTCATTGTATGAACATCTTTTATTTATAAGTTTAAGCTTAGCTTATAGTTTAATTATTTTCACTCGTGGTTCATTTTCTTTATATTAAAGATAAAATATAGTTTTTTAAAATTTATATTTTTAAATTTTAAATTACAAAAAAACCAGCTAAATTGACTAAAAACAAATTGAAATCAAAAGTATGTATTTTATTTAAGAAAGTAAATTTAAATTTGTAAGCATTAAAATTAATCAATTAAACTTGTCCTAGTTAATTGATTAGTACTAATGAAGTCATTAATCAGCATCACAAATTTAAATCATTTATATTATTTTAAAGTGTTTAAATTCATGATTGATTAGTATGTTTGAATATCCATAAAATTTGTTCTTAATCATTATATTAATTATATATAAGTATGATACCCTGAAAAAATTCCATCTCCTCGCACGAATCTCGAGGCGTGACACAAATCTCAAGGTGTGGCACAAATTTCAAGGAAATTTTTTGAGTACTAATTGTTAGAACTTTGAATAAAAATTATTCAAAACTTCGGTTTTAACCAAAGTACAGTAAAACTGACTGGCTAGAAGAGATAGACCCAACATCCTCCTCATCAGCAGGAGATCAGCAACTTAACGTTCTCTTCTTGAAGAGCCAATATCATCGCTTAAAAGCCTTCAAAGTCTTCACGTTCTAGTAAAGGAGTCATCCTTTTTGTTCTTGCTAAATATATGGTTGATCTTTGCAAGCTCGGTTTTCTACGCACTTGAAGGAAGGGTCAGCTCATTTTCAAATGGTATCGGTATTAACTTCTCAGAATTCTGGTATTTTCATTAATTTTTAGAGGGATGAGATTTCAGATATTGATATCCCAACAACATGAAGAATCCTCTTTGGAATTGGAAATAGG